GAAATTCGAGTTTCAACAATTAACTCGAATTTCACACAAGAACAGAATATTTGTGAGTTGTGGAAAATAAGTAGAAGAGAAAGAGATGGAAATTTTTAGATAATTTCGTTTTGGAGATGATATAGGTATTTATAATACATCTAGGAGTCTGTTGGAAATAACAGACTCATCTCTTCATAACAGGCACCTTCTAAAACCAATAGTCACCTTCTTTTGAATTTAAAAGAAAATTGTTAAAAACGTTTTCTGAAATTAAAAAAAAATATTTTTAATTAATTAAATAATATGTGACTAAAATATTAATTCTGGGGTACTTAATTGGCCCAAAGCCCAATTGCCCAATTTTGACATCTCGCTCAAAAATTAATTCAAATTATATAAGACAAAGAAGCAATTTTAAATACCTTTTTCTTGATTTCTTTTTTTAATAAGGAACAAAACAACCTCTCCTCAAATACTCCCATCAAACACTAACTAATCTAACATATATATGTTGATGACTTGTTGGACTAGGGATCAAATACTCATTCACCCTTTTCTTTCTTTTGTCATTTGACCTCTTTATCAAGCTGTGGTATATAGAACCCGTTTTCTTATTAATTAAAGACCTAGACATATTGATGAATTTTGTCAAAATAGGTATATCTATGCTTGACGTGTTACTTTTCTTTTATCTTTTTTTTTGTTGTTGAGAAATTTCTTTATCTTTTGTTTTTTTTTTTTTTGATGGTGGTGGTGGACTGGTGGTCTTTCTCTCGATTTTGAGTGATTCTTATAAAAATAAAATAGAGACATCGATCATTGCGAAAGCCAAAAATCCTCACAAATTAAAAAGAGGGTAAATGCAATAACAGAGGGGTTTTAAGTAGGGACGGATCTAAAATTTAAGTTTTATGGGTTTAATCTTTATGATTTTTAGCATTTAACTCATGTTCCTTTTCAAGTTATGGGTTTAAATTGCTATTTATAGCAATATTAATAAAAAAATTTATATAAATTTATGTTACGCATTAAAAGTATTAGGTTCAATTGAACTCGATGCGAATACATCACATCCGCATCTGGTTTTAAGCCTTTTAAGTGAAAAGATGTCATATAAACAACTCTCAATATTGTACACGTCACTACGACATAAATTAACCTTTGCATTTGCTAAGAAGAGAAAATATACGAAAGTTATCGTACTATATGATTATCTGTCTTGAAATCAAGTTAAAGTTTTGATAAAAATGTATACATGCTAGAGTTGGCCTCTATAGTCCTTAACTACAAATTAGCACAATCATTAAGAAAATTAAAATGTACTGTAAAAACCTCATTCATTCTTCCGGTCTTTTAGATTTTAATAAGCTCATTCTGCTAACAATATATTACTTTGCTTATTTATTCCTCTTAATGGTAGTGAATATACATTTTATGATTATTGAATCCCGACTTGCTATTCTAGAAAATTTTCTGTCACGTCTGGAAAATCTAGAGATAGAACCATATCCATCTTAAGAAATATGTCATATTTTCTTTTATTTAATTCTTATGTAACTTTATTATTTGTAACCGTATGATCGACCAACTACAGCAATTTATTTCAAGAAAACTCCCATATTCCGACACAATTTTTGCAATTTCTTCATATCTTATAATCCATATATGTTATTTAACTTTTATGATTCATAACTCATCAATATCTAAACTTAATTATCACCACTTGATTTCTCAAGCTAAGACACTATTATTATCCAACTATTATCATAATTGGCTTCTCCTTAGGTTACAACTTAAAAGTAAATGCAAAACATGATTGTCTATTTACGTTACAACTCAAAAATAAAAATTACGTATCCTTTGCTCACTCACCATCATTTATTCGTAAAATAATCTTACTCTCTTAATTAATTACCATTAATCCCTGCTAGCTAGCTGCATAAAAACCAATCAATAGATAGAAGGGTTGACAATTGTAACAAACAATTAAGTCATTACTTATAAAGGGATTAATCAGAAGAAGAAGAAGAAAAAGTTGACTTTTACAAGTAATATATATGCCTTATTGTTTTAATAATGCCAACTAGGGTGCATTGAGTATCATATTATCGATCCATTAATAGGATAAGATTTTCTAACTCCCAAATCAACACATTACATAGAAACAATAGTAAAAATATTTTAAAGACAGCAAGTTTGAGAGTACACAAAGCACCTTTAAATAGTCCATATTTTTTACTCTGAATGTAAACTCAAAAACCATAAGACGAATTATCTCTAACATTCTTTAGTTTCAGCCATGGCAAAGAAACCTAGCATTGGTCGTCAAAAGATCAAAATTGCCAAAATAGAGGTCAAAAATCATCTCCAAGTTACCTTCTCAAAACGTCGTTCTGGTCTTTTCAAGAAAGCTAGTGAACTCTGTACACTTTGTGGTGTTGAAATAGCTATCATAGTGTTTTCACCTGCAAGAAAAGTTTTCTCTTTTGGTCACCCTAATGTTGAGTCCATTATCGATAGGTTCCTGTCAAGAAATCATAATCCAATTTCTAATTCATCGCTTCATCTTGTTGAGGCTCATCGAAATGCTAGTGTTCGTGAGCTAAATTTGCAATTAACTCAGATTCTTGCTGAGGTTGAAGTTGAGAAGAAAAGAGGAGAATCACTTGATGAAATGAGGAAAACTAGTCAAAGTCAATATTGGTGGGAAGCTCCTATAAGTAAACTTGCTTTGCATGAACTTGAACAATTAAAGGATTCAATGGAGGTTTTAAAAAAGAATGTGACAAATCAGGCAAGCAAGTTTATGGTTGAGACTACTGCTAATTCTTCTTCTTATTTTGGTGTTAATGGGAATGGGATTTTTAACAACTATGATATCAAGCCAGCTCGAAACATGGTTGCTTCAAATAATCTTCATAACCAAAACTTTGGTTTTGATTTAGCTGGGATGTTTTAATTCTTTTCTGGTTCGGCACTCCTCGAATTCCGCGCATAGCGGGAGCTTATTGCACTGGGCTGCCCTTTTTTCCCTCTTTTTATTAACTAAAGCAAACGAGTACCTCACTAGTTGGTCTTTGCTAGTATAAGTTTTTCAAGTTCTCAGTTTGTGTATTGATTCCCTATATATGAGCAACAAGAAATGGTTGCCCTTATAAATCAATATGTTAGTAATTGTTAATATTTTGCAATCCTTTTATCTGCTATTATCATGTTATTACTTCCCCAGCCATTACCTTCATCCATTGCTTTTTATATATTAAGAAATCCTGTCTTTATTTCTCAGTGTGAAGTTGAGTTTTAGTAACTGGTAAAGTTGGTGTTATGTGACCAAGAGATCATTGGTTCGAGCCGTGGAAACAACCTTTTGTAGAAATGCACGGTAAGACTATGTACGATAGACTCTTGTGGTCCGGCCCCTCCTCGGATCTCTCGCTAGGGGTGTACAAAGGAAACCGACAAACCGCACCAACCCGATAATCCGACTCAAACCGAGAAAAAAAATCCGACTATGGTTTGGTTTGATTTTGGAAAAAAAAAACCGACCATAATTGGTTTGGTTTGATTTTAACTAAAGAAAGTCAAACCAAAACCAAACCAACCCGACATTACATATATAGAAATTTTAGATATATTTAATATATAAATATACTTATTGTGATGTAATTTATAAATATTTCTTAAAAAATTTCATAATTTTATCTTTTAATGTATTATTTCATGGTTGGACTTAGAACTTTTGAATGTTTCAATAAGTTTTATAGCCATTAATATTAGTAAATTAGATAATGCTAACAAAAGCTCAAACTAAAATCAAATCAATATTAATGCTAACAAAAGACATTCAATTCAATACTATGAACGGGAATGTATTGAATATCTAATTTTTGTTTTGCAATAATTTAGATAAAAATGCATAACCTATTTTTATTTTTTTCTTTAGCGTTTAGTCATATAATTAATACTTCCTTATTAGTCTGCTTATTTTAGCATGACTTAGTACCTTTAGATTATATTTATTATTATTATTTAATTTGCAATATTTATATTACATAATTTTATTGTTGAATATTTTAGTATAATGCCATGACACATCTCATATTTTGTATTTATTTTCTTGAAAAGTAATTTATATAGTTGTATATTACTAGGGTTAAAGAAATATTTTGAGCACGAGTTATATGTTTTATTCTAGGAAGATTTTACCGGAAAAAACCCGAGAAAAATCGAGATTGAAAAACCCGAATTTTATTGGTTTGGTTTGGTCTTTAGATNAAAATGATTATTTTGGGGAAAAGATGCATACATTTTCTTGTAAGCAGAATAATAAAGCATACTGTTGTTATTATATTACAATCATAAGCTTAAGTAATAAATCAAACAAAAACCAGATTAAAGCTTTAGTAAGCCAATGAAAAGTGGCACCAAGGTGTGACCTCATTGTCAATAAAAAGTGGAATAAAGACCATAAGAAACCACATTCAAATTCTAACAATGAAACAAAATACTAGTAAGAAAACATAAAGAAAGAATGCAGCATGACCAGTTAGTTTTAGCTTTTATCCCGGCCTCATAAGCTTCTTCTCCCTTTTGGCAATCTTCCTAAGCTTCAAGAATAAAATATCAAGATTTAACATAAGTCATTTAAATTAATACAGCGAAATTATACTGCTCCACACTTAAATGTGTTGCAGGCACAATAAAATTGAGATTAGCATCAGCCTAGTAATTCCGACTATAAATACAATTGTTCAAAATGCAATGTTTTGTAAATGATTCTGCTACTCCGAATTATATTCTTCCGCCACTAATTTTTTTAATTAATGTAGTAACATTCATTAGTTTACATCACTTGAGCTATTAACTTATTCATGGACACAAGGAAGAAGATAGTCGAGATTATTAATACAAAAACAACAGCTTCTCAAATTTTTTATATATAACAAAAGATCACAACATGCTACTTCTTTATTAAAATGCTCAACTAATCATGTGCTTTAAATATGAAAATAATTGCTTCAGAATTGGCCATCTCCCGGGTGATTGAATTGGTAAGGAACAATTGAAGAACAATAGTCGATAGCAGCCTGATTCGAGAATTGATCTTCAGCCCCAAATCTAGCAATATTACTATTCATAGTTGAATTACTTGGCAAAACTGAAGAACCATTTATCATACTCAATTCATCAGCTCTCATTGTTATTTTCTTCTTCAATTCTTCCAATGCACCCATAATTTCTTCAAGTTCCTCAATTCTCATATAATCAAATGATTCATTCCACCAAAATCCCTCATTATTATTATTATTATTCACAATCTTTGAATTTTCAATAATCTCCTTTTTTTTCTTCTCAGCCTCCAATTCTCTACAACTCTGAGAATAGTATTGATTGTTCTGCTGCACGTTGAGTTTATCGACGATGGATGAGGAGGAGGAGGATTTTCCCGTGAGATAACGGTCGATAACGGCGTCAGCGTTGGGATGACCGAAAGCAAAAAGACGTTGTCGTTTTAAAGATTGAACGAGAATAGCGATTTCTGCACCGCTTAAGATGCAAAGTTCGGTAGCTTTTTTGAAAAGGCCTAAACGCCGTTTGGAGAAAGTAACATGCCTACTATTTTGATTGTCTATTGGCTTGATTGCAATTTTTCTCCGTCCTTGAGTTTTCTTCATGGTGTTAATAGTAGTGTTCATGGTAGAAGAAAGAAGAAGATTAATTGGCTTCGTAAATTGAGAATTTGTTGATGTATAATAATTTATAGAAGAGTTGTTTGGTCTGTAAATCAAAGAATTTTTACCATTCAAGAACCGGAAAAGATTTAATTACTCGTTTTAGTTGTAGTTGTAGGAACGGGATTGGGTTTTACTTTGGAAAGTGCTGTAATATAGAACGTTGTTCTAGAAAAATTAAAAAATAAACGAAAACTTTTCCATAACTTTGTTACTTATTGGAAAAGTAGAATCTTTAATATATATNAATATGTATAGTACTTGAGTGGCACGCGTTATCGTTGGAATTTCTCGTAAGTAGGAATTTTTTAGATTTTATTAGATATGAAAGCAAATACCCAAACAAACAAAAAAAATACATAGGAGGACTACCCCAAACCCAAAGGTCTTAAACCCTATATATGAGAACTATACCCAAGCATAGGACATAGGAGGCTCCCTTGGCGCACTCCAAACCAGATTTTCAAGGTTCTTACCAAGAAGCTTGTGCAAGGATGGGTGGTGTACGCTAGGGGTGGAAAACGGACGGGTCGAGTCGAATATGGGACGTGTTGAAATGGGGTAACGAAAAAACGGATAAATTATTCGATCCGACTCATATTTAATACGGATAAAAAACGGGTTACGATATTATCCATGGCTTCAAAAATATGATCGCTTTTGGGAGAATTTCTAGTTTTTCTCAAACTTGAGAAACCCCAAGTTAAGGTCTTACAAATTAAAAAGTTAAACATATTGATTATCCATTTTCTAAATAAATAATATGGTTCTTATCTATATTTGACCCGTTTATAAAAAGTTCTTTATTCAATCCATTTTTTAGTGGATAATATGGGTGGTTAACTATTTTTTTTTAATCATTTTGCCACCACTAATGTACACAGTAAGACCGTTATCAAGAAGTCATCTCTAACAGGTAAATAGTAGTGGAGCCACCTTGTTTGACCAAAAAGTATAGTACTCTTTGTTAAACTAATTAAAAGATAATTGAGGTGAAAGGTGAATTATAGTCAAGCATAATAATTCTTAGATCTAGCTAAGTGTTGAAGTGATACCGTTTAATTAATGCCCAAAATCGGATATTAAATCATTAAATACATGCCTTGGGAATAAATAAAGAATGAATGATGAGCAATAAATATAAATAGGAAGAACAATTCGCCCAAATATCGACCGATGTGGAGGATTCTTCCTCCTGACAACGGAATATGGTAGTGAATAAGAATATGAACAATGCTTTCTTGGATCGTGTGAGTGGAAAGGAAGAATAATCGATAAAATCAATCACTATTTAAAGGTATACTTTATTCTCTCTCAAGAGTCAACTTCTTACAACGGTATTTTCAGAATCAAACTCACATGTTCTTTTTCTTTTCCCTTTCTTTCTATTTATATTGGATATTCTCTAAGAACCCTAAAAAGTACAACAATGAGAATATTCCTGTCACTAGTTCTAAGACTACACTAGCCGTTATTCCTACTCTTCGCTACTCGACCTCGGCCTTTACGGCTTACTTAGCGGCTGCTCGTTGTTGGGCTTTGGTCGACCTCGGCTTATCCGCCCAAATCGAAATATAGTCTTCTCACTTAACGATCTTCCCACGCCTAACTTCCTAAGCCAGATTTTGACCCATATAGTTAGTCCCTCAGCTTGTCGGGGTCGCCTTCTAGTCGGCTACGATGAGCGGACCTTTTCGGTCGACGATTTGTGAAAAACATTTTGGCATGGTGATCGAGTAGAGGCGTCCGTATCCGAAATAATGACGTGTCGCTCTGAGATTCGTGGTTCATGGGGTTGGTGTAGGATGACATCACGTCGCATGCGCCATCATTGCGCATCTTCCCGATGCGTTGCTTCGTTCCTCGAGTCCCTATCGTTTCGATTTTAGGGCCACTGGCGGTTGCCTGCATCAATTTGAACGCCTTTGAGGTCTATAAATAAATAAGGGAAAACTTCTCAATGGAAATTTTGCATTCTCTGATTTCTTCAACCTTGCACTCGCTTCTCTTTCTTCTTTTTGCATTCTTGCACCCTGAAATTGCAACCATTTTTACCCTTTTTTTCTTTTTCTACTCCACCGCATACATATTAGCGGAGAATGGCTAATGCGACCCCTAACGCTGAGATGATCTCTGACCCTACTCCATTATCGGTGGTCATGCCTTCTGGTGGCGGAGAATCAATGGTTATAGAGGATGAGAGCTTCCCTACTGTGAAAGAGATCATTCCTCATAACCATACTTCTAGGTCCGACTTCTCTAAGGAACCCGCCCTTTAACCGGAGTCTGCGAAATCAGAGATGGAGGCGAAGCACCTTGTTGCCCTTAGGACCAAATATGGCATTCCTGCCCATGTCGACTTGGTCCCGGCTAGAGATGACGTGGTTCAAGTTCACCGGCCTGGGTATTGTGCATTTTATGCCTACCCATTCCAGATAGGTTATTCTTTTCCTCTTCCTTCGTTGGCGGAGCCGTTCTGCCGCTACTACAACATCTGCTCGGCACAACTTTCTCCCTACCTTTACAAGATTTTTCTTATGTTGGCGAAGATCGCAGAGCTGGCCGACTACGAAGTCTCTATCCGTCATTTACTGCACCTCTTCAGATCGAGCTTCCATAGGGGCACGATGATTCACCTCCGCCACTGCGGAACCAAAGGGTTGGTGGCAGGGATGGATGATAGGATGAACCGTTGGTTTTTGGCTCATTACTTCTTCATCAAAATTGAGCATGTGGTGGCGAACCCTAGCGAATTTCCTAAACAATGGAATTTTTCTCGTAAGTGTCATCATTTGGAGTACGTTCTTTTCCTCCTCTTCGTGTTTCATGACTTGTTACGTTGTTTGTCTTTTTGTAGCTGAGAAGCACCCCCCCTTCTTTAGTCGCCGATATCAGTGATTGGGTGACCCACGTCTTGCCTCGCACCGTAGGGATCCGTGACTGGGCGTCCTTCAACAAGAGGTTCGGGCTCAAACCTTCGATCGGTAAGTTGGGGTTTTCTCTCATAACTACTTCGCACTTGTTGTAGTGTGCTTCTTTTTGCCGCTTATGGTTTTCTTTTGACGGCGGGTCGGAGAACTTCTAAGAAGGCGAAGGCTCCTATCCCCGCATTTCGCCAGGTGGTTGCTTCGGCGGGGATGCAGTTTGTGTTGGCCGAGTCTGTGCGAAATACTTCTTCCCATACTCCGATTTTAAGTGAGCCTGGTCGTCAAACGGCCACTCCATTAGCGGAGGTCCCTACATGCCCGATGTTTCATTTAGAGGATGAATCTTTCCCCGGCGAGAAGGAAACGGCACTGTTGATAAGGCAATGAGTAAAGGCTTTGGCTATGCCTGAGCACGCAATAATTGTGGACGTGGAAGCGGCGTGCCTTTCAGCTGCGGGAACCGCTCCTTCACCAGACGTTCTCGTAGAAGATAGGCTATTGGAGACAATGGAGGCTGCTGCGAAAAGGAATATACCAGGGGAAGTCGAGATTGGCTCTTCGTCTGCTGGTGGTAGAGGAAAAACGGTCATTGTTGAGGATGACAGGTCCGATTCCGATGTCGACTCTGAGGAGGTACGGGCTTTCGAGGAGAGATTTACTCGAGTGGAGGTGAGGACCGAGGGGTCCACTCAAAATATTGCCATCCCCTTGGATTTCAAATTGTTGGTCAACTTGGAGTGGTTACGGCTTTAGCCCCCTTATACGCAGAGTCCGAGAACAGGACCTTCCAGATGTTGAAGGATGCAGACTTGTCGTTAGGCATTTCCGGGATGCCCCTACGGGTAAGTCTTCTCTTAGCATTTCAATTTCTTTTTTCCTCTACGTTATTTGCCTTTACTGACCCTTTTTCGTTTGTTTATCAGAATCTCATCCCAAAGATGGAGACCGCTGGTCGGGAGGAGAAGAGGATAACTCTCTATAAGAAAATGGAGTCAAAATATAGAGAGCACCGTACAAAACACAAGGCCATGGTTCACATGCTTGGTGAGAATGCTTTGTAACCAACTCTCATTGATGATCTGATGAAGAAGAATGAGGAGTTGAAGGAGAAGGATGATGAGCTCATAAGGGTTATTGTCGGTGCAGCGAGCTCGAAGAGACGTTAAGCACCAAAAATGATGAGCTTGAGGTGAGCAAGGGAGTTATGGCCGAGTGTGTCGACTTCCAAGCTCAGGTGACGTCCTTATGTGCCGAGTTTGAGCAGAGCGAAAATGGAAGCTAACGGCTTAAGGGATGAGCTGGCTGTCGCGCCCCTTTTTTCCCCTCCGCGGAGATAGAGAGAAGTATGGGTTTCGACATTCATGGGGGTAATAACTCATTTCCTTTTGGGAATTTGGGTTTGAAGAGTCGCCACCTAACGGGTTATGGTGCGTTAGGGTACCTAGAGTGATTAACTCTTGGAACTAGTTTGCATTACCGGAGATTAGGATAAGGGCTCGAAATGACCTAGAGGGGAAGGTGTTAGGCACCCCTCTTGGTCCACAACTGTGGTTTCCGGTCGAACTTATATTTACGAATTAGTCCATTAACAAATAAATACTTGAAAAAAACAATTATAAATAAAACACGTTTGTATAACTCAAAACAAGGCGGAGATTTTGAACAAGTTGTATACATATAAAAAAAGTTTAAACAAAAAGAATTTTGGGAAAAGGGGAAGTCCTAGGTTGGTTAGACTATAGGATCACCCCACACAATGTCCGGTAAACACTCTTCAATAAGGGGCTACACATGAAATTAGCGCGTAGTCATCATATCTCATATCTACCCTTTCCACCCCTTTAGTGGTCATTAAAATGAGTGTTGGTCAGCAATATCTATTGCATGCTGTTACCCGTCCCTTCTTAATCGTCCTGGAAGAATTTTAGGACCTCTACCTATAAGTAGTTCTAGACAGACCCCTAAAGTTTTAAAGGTGAAAATACTAAGGCGACAGGCAAGAACAATTATGACCTT